TTGGTTTGAATTTTTTGGCTTTGGGAGAACCAATTAGCCAGACTGTTTTAATAAAAAACTATTTGAAAGTAACATTGAATAGTAGCTCAAACATAGATTTTTTTCCCTCGTTTTTTGCTTTCTGATTAGTAGTACTATAACTATATTTACAATCAATCATTCATATTTAATTTTGCATCTTATTAGATGATTGTATAATAATTTGTATATATTTCTGTTGTTTAAAGTTAACATACAATTTAAGTTTATTGGAAAAGAGATATGAAATTTCAATTCAGAGTAAACTTTATTTATACTGTGGATGTGGAGCGAACACTCCAACATGATGTGATTGAGATGATAACGTCCACATGAGCATAGAGAATTATCTGTCAATCCAATTTTGAATTTGTAGGCTAGGCAGATGGCGTGATTTGATTGTAAACAATTTATTGTGTTTATGTATTTTCTGTCGCTCTCTTGTTCAAACCATCTATTTCCAATAATCTTTGGGAAGAGTTGTTTAAAGTTTTTGCCTGTCTGAGATTCACTGAATTGATTTTGCCAAATTTCATTCAAATCTTTCTTGTAAATTCGATTCAAATCGGTATGTGGAATAAAGGTGTGAATGGACTCCTCTCCTATTTCAGTGGCTTGCTAATCTATCTACTACCTCATTTCCTTTTATTCCGGAATATCCTTTTATCCAAATTATAGATACCTTCTCATTTTGTAAGAGAATTAAATTGTGGGCTCTGGCGATTTCTATTTCAAATTCAGAAAACTGATTAGGATTTCGGAAAATTATTGACTGAATGCAGTTTTGTGTCAGAATATATTGCATTGCCAGAAGTATGGCTTTCAATTCTGCAGTGTAGATGGATGCTTCATTAAAAAGTATATACATTTCAAAATACTTGGTGTTTGAATGATAGAATGCGAAACCTGTTTTCTCGGATATTTTTGATCCATCTGTGTAGATATAATCTGCATTTGGCCATAGCCTCTTGATTATTTCTGAAAACTCTCCCTCACAATTTATATTATTTCTTTCCAAATAATATACTTTCTTCCAGGAAAATCATTGCTATTATTTTCCACATAAATTTGATATGGTCCTGTATTCGACATACTGTACCTATCAATCAATTGTTTTGGTATGTTTTCATTACCTATTTTTTGGTTTTCGTCGAGAGGTTCTAATCCTGGTGATACTGAGGAGGAGTTGAACTAGGAGGTGGTTCGGGGGGTTTACTCCCATTTACACTAGACATCACTTTGTAGTTTCAAAGAACTCAATACACATTATATTATCCAATTATAAGATTTGAAATAATCGAGCTGATATAAATGAATTTGTTTTAATAAGATACTCTGAGAAACACGTCCAACACGTACGAAGTCCATCACAGAACTCCCATTCTCCAGTGTTGCCCAATGTTTTTTCAGATGAAGACTTTATGGCAGCTGAAGTCCTTCAATTAGAGCCTATTGTTTTTCAAGATATTGCCGATTCTATTTCAAAATCGACTTCTGCTGGTGCTATTGATCCCTCTACTTCTGAACCAGCAACTGAATCTTTGTCTCAATTTGAAATACCATCAACGTCTAATAATCTGAAAAAAAAACAACAAGCAATGATTTCAACATCTTCACCAAGCAAAGACGCCCTAATTGAAAAAAAAAATGAAAGGAGGGTAAAAGCTGTGAATTTGGACGAGACAATGAAACATGGTACCGGTGCCCTTCTTGTGGGCTTGAGGCTCATACCAACTGTACTGGAAGAGATTCTGCACACAATTAAGTGTACGATATGTGTTGATCACCAACAAATGTTGACAATGGTGATCTTAATTTTTTTATTGTGTCAATATTAATAAACCAAAGTTATGAAAGTTGATACAATTGATAGTTAAGAAAGTAAAGTTTATAATAAGAACAGAGCAATAAATAGTTGATTAATAGATGTGCTTTTTTTTTCATTCTTGCTTAGGTGAGCCCCATTACCTACATCTCCCCTACATATAAATCAAAAGATTATAAAAATATAATTGACATATATCCAAATATAATTGACATATTTTTTTACTCATTTTGAAAAGATGTTCGTTTGAAAAATCATATTTTTTGTTATAGATTATTTTTAGAAAGTATTTTTGAATAACCTCAAGTTCAATCAAGTAGGTTTGTTTGAATGTGATTGAAAATGTTTCATTATGAATTTCATTAGTTCGAACTTCCATTGTCTGATATTATATAGAATGATTTGAAATCCCCGAAAGAACTAATAAAAAAAGAAGAATTAAAAAAGAATAGCTGAAAATAACAATTATATTAAGCAAAAAAACCCTAAAATGAAATAACAGTGAAATAAAATACAAGTAAAAATAGAACAATTCAACAAAAATTAAAAATAAAAAGTTGAGATTCCAAGCCAAGTTACTTCACGACGTTTCGATTGTTAGTATCCACAATCGTCTTCGGGTGATGACTGGACTAATTTCTCCGAGATATGACTATTTATGGGTCATTCGAGTTCTTTCACTTATCTCTGCTTTCCTTTTTCCGCTTCACCAGTTCAGTGGGAGATGACCGTTTGGCGGGAGTTGGCCATTTTTTGCTTGATTATGGGTTTCCATATGTTGCGTATCTCTACGCTAGCTTGGCTGAATACATTGTTGGACAATTTCCTCCTAAACCAATGTTCCTCCTTGTGTATGATCTCAGCTCGAGACCACTCGATGTTATGTTGATGGGTCCAAACATGCTCTGTTATTCCTAATTTGCTGGTTTCCCCTCGCTGAGTGTGTTTCTTGTGCTCGGCAATGCGAACATTCAATGGCCTCTTAGATTCACCGATATAGGATTTTCTGCACTCACAGGGTATCCGTTAAATGTAATTCTTGGAATCGCCTGTTTTTCGTGAGACTGCTACGGATTGTGTTTCCAGATCTGAAGCAGGTTCCAATCTTGTACTTGGACCCAATTCTTCTTATCCTTTCCGATAATCCTCTGATGTAGGGAAGTGCAAGCACCGGTTGTGACGGTTTCTCTTCCTTGCGAGGCTCTTGCTGTCTTTTAGCCAAAATCTGTTCCACCATCGCTTTGGAGTAGCCATTCCGTTGAAGATCGTTTTTGATGATATCCAGTTTCTTCTCGAGACCTTCCTTCGTATTGCAGAGCCTGAAAGCACGGTGTAATAGAGTCTTGATGATTCCTCTTTTAGTCGATTGATGGTGGTTGGATTTCTGGTTCAGATACTGTTGAGTGAGTTTTCGGTATACAGATGTTTCCCACTTAGTGTCGGTCCTCTTCACCAAAGTGTCTAAGAATGGCAATTCGTTGTGGACTTTCTTCTCCATTGTGAAACTGATGAAAGGTCTTACGCTGTTGATGTGTTTCAGGAAGGCGTCTAGTTCAGTATTCCCATGATTCCATATTATGAAGGTGTCGTCAACGTATCTCAACCAGGCACAAGGTTTCTTATGGGCTTTTTCAATGGCCCGAATTTCAAACTATTCTTTTTATCTTATAATCTCTTTCATAATCTTATCTCAGAAAAACATGAAACTACAGGACATCAAAGTAGACATAGTAGGCAAAAAAATAAGGAGAGTCCATAATACCAAATATCTGGGACTAATAGTTGATGAAAACCTATGCTGGAATAACCATATCACCCATATAGAAAAAAATAATAATTCCAATAGTTAGTGCCCTGTATTATTTTAGAACCTACTTACGTCCATCTTCATCCATCAAATATACAGTGCATATTTCTTATCAATATTTAGCTATTTAATTTCTATATGGGGTACATGTGGACAGGCATTATTGACGTATTCAAAGAACACTTAGAATGAAGTGTTTTTTGAATACGTTAGTTATGGATTTTCATCAAGTATCAGCCAATTCCATTATAGACATTATTCAATAAAATAAAAACACTTCAAAACAAAGTCTTAGCTACAGAACCTCGACTGATACTTTAAACAGTGTAACCAAGATATTGCCTATTCAGGATATTCTTGAAATCGAACAAGGTAAATTTGCATACAAGGTTATACATAAACAAGTTCAATTTAATACCAACTTCAGATTCGTTAATCAGCGCCACGAATACAATACTCGTACCCATAATAATGTCTTTTTAGGACCTGTACGTACCAATATTGACTTAAATAATCCCATTACACGCTGCATGAAAACTTTTAATACTCTTCCCAAAGAAATAACAAAAAGCTCTAATATCAGTATCTTTAAGAATAAAATAAAGAGTTTTTATAATAGCATACTGAACGAAGGAATGGCTTAAGTCTTTTTATTTCTCTGTATGAATTACTATTAGATTTTTATTTTATTTACATTTGTATTATGGATTCTCAAGTGAATCTTGATAGTATTATTTTGTTGTACTGTATAAAGTATTATTATATTATTGTTTTTAGCTAGTTTTCCAAGACCAGCATGTTGGTGGAGCTTTGAATAACTTTTTTTGATAGTACTGCTATTTGAAATACTATTTAAAATGTTTATTGTAATCATGATTGAATTATATGAATAAAGTTTAAAAAAAAGACCCGAAAAAAGCATTTGATACTGTGGACCATAAAATTCAAGCACTTATTGAAACCTTTATCACACACGTTGAATGTCAGAGATGCTTTTGACAATGTTTATTCGGTGAAATATGATAACGAACTGTAATGAATTTTTTCAGTTATGAGATTCGGTGTGTTGAATATTTTACTGCTTAGCTGTACCTGGCTGAAAATCAATATTTGAATCGGTAAATTCAAAATGCACAGAGAATACAATTCATGTATATTCATTGATAGCTTGGTATGGTACGTGAAAAGAAACTTGCGTTTTATGAGGTATATAAAAATGAACGAAGGTGGCTGCCAAATATTTAAATACTAGTGATGCCTGTACAATAGGCAACCAACATTTATTTTATTATCACACAAAACCAATACTGTTCCAAATAGTCTTTGTTTAATTGGTGTTATTTTTTTTAGATGATTGGCGTTGGCACAAAACATACTCATTTATCTGAATGGACAATGAGATTCGGCAGTATGTTAGGAATCGACTCGCAATCGTGGGGATATTCATATCGTGGTAGAATACAACATGATAATTTACTAAGAGAATATGGACTAAGATATGGTCAAGGAACCTTAATTGGTGTACATTTGAATATGTATAAAGGAACTTTGGAATATCACATCAATAGGAAACCTGTCGGTAAGTCTTTTTTCATATTGTTGTAAATTATCCCCTGAAAAAAATGACGCCGGCCACCGCTGGTCTTCGTCGATCGACTGACTTGGCCAAGGTTGCGCTCAACTCTCGGTCGTTCTAAGTGTTTCGTCGCTTCGATAATATTCCTATCGGCTTCCGAAGATTTCCATTGGGATATATAAGCACTGCCAATAGGCAGAGGAGGCAAGTATAGTTGAAAGTGCGGTACGAAGTAAGCCAATAAGGCGATGGACATTTGAGTATTAGTTTGAACTTCAGTAAAAGTTTTGTTGTATTGTCAGTATAGTAGTGAAATAAAGTTGAGTTTAATTGTACACTGTGGTGAAGTATTGTTGAACCCACGAGAGGTCAGTAATGAGAGCTGACATTTTCAACAGAAGCAGTGTACCCGTTTTGCAAACAGCCACTGGAGATATACTGACGGTTTATGGAGAAGTTGAAGTGAGACTTTGATTTGGAAATTGAGAAATAAAAACTAAGGTATTAGTGGCCAACAACGTCGACGAATTCATTTTGGGACTGTTATCATGTCCCCTTATTGATTTATTTTGAATATAAAAAAACTGTTGATTCTGCTCCAGAATCTCTCGCAACCCCAAGAGAATCGTTCGAGCAAAAATTGCTGGACATGGTGGCTTGGGCACTGCCATCCAACGGCTCTGAAGTAGTCATTTTCGTGGCTATATCTCTCGTAAATGGTAACAACTAGACCATTTCAGTAAGAATAATCAACCTTAATAATAACAGGATGGCTCAAGAAGGGACAAGTAATAGGCACCTGCGAGCCGATCGTGAAAATTTCTCGAATCTACAAAGAACTCCCACTGCAGCGTGCTCAACAACCCGCGAAGGAACTCATCGACTCCTTCAGGAAGACGTGGAGCCATCTGTCTGAAGAACTATGCAAAGCCACGCGATTTGTAGAAGAAAGAAAACAAGAAGTTTGTGAAGTGCAAAATCATTGGCCACACAGATTTAGTTCAACATCGGATCGCTAACCATGAAAACGACTTTCTTTCGCAAAGCAGGACGAAGTTTCATCCATCGTTGAGGCCATGTTGGAGAAAGGAATAATCAAAGAATCGAGCAGCCCCTGGATGGATCGACGAGATTCTGCGTGAATTACAGAAGGTTCAATGATGTCACCAGAGAGGACAGTTACCCTCTCCCCAGAATAGATGACACCATGAACATCTTAGCTGAATGCAAATGGTTTCAACATTAGATAAAAAAAAGCGCATATTGGTAGGTGGCAGATCGCCCCGAGAATAAAGAGAAGACTGCCTTTTCCACTGGCAATGAATTATATTAGTTCGAATTTATGCCGCTTGGATTGAGCAATGCACTCACAAAATTTTAACGCTTTATGGAGTCGGTGCTAAGAGGACTTACTTGGAAAACATGCTTGGTTTATCTTGATGACATTATAGTGACCGGAAAAAGTTTTGATGAACATCTGTCAAACTTGAGTGGTGTTTTTACGAGACTGTGGAATGCTTATTTGCGGATCAATCTCAAGAAGTGTTACCTCTTCCAGGAAAAGGTAACACTTCTTGTGTTACCTTTTCCTGTGTGTCCTCAAAAGGAGTTGAAACAGATCCAGATAAAATCAAGGCAGTGCAAGAATGGCCAACACCAAAGAGCAAGCACGACGTGAGAAGTTTCTTTTGCATCCACTGGAAGTTTTCAGTGAGTGCCTTTTCTAGAGAATCGCAGTTGACATTCTGGGACCACTTCCTGTGACCACATCCGGTAACAAGTACTTGATGGTTGTGATGAACGTAATTACCAGGCAAGAAGTACCCCAGGAGTTACGCTCGGATCAGGGACGCAACTTTGAGTCGGATGTATGGAAGGAAATGATGACTTTGTTGGGAATGAAGAAGACAAGAACAACCGGTCTTCAGCCACAGTCTGATGGAATGGTCGAGAGGCATAATCGTACCATAAATAACTACCTCTCGATGTTTGTATCCAAAGAGACTGGGGTAAATTGGTTCCTCCCTCTCCATTGGCATACCGGAAATCCCAACATGACGCGACAGGTTACACACCATCTATATTGTTAACCATTCGAGATATGAAGCTTCTGATAGATGTAATTTGTGGTAGCCCATTCGAAGAATCTCAAGAGTTACTCCTTTCAGGGTATGTGAATGACCTGAGGGATAGATAGACTGGAAATTGTCCACAAATTTGCCAGATACAGCTTTACAGCGACAGGATGAAGATAAGATTTGATGATAAGTCGATGCAGGTGAGGTTTAAGGAGGGCGATGCAGTGTGGCTCTACCAACACCAACGGAGGAAAGGTTTGTGTCCCAAATTGCTGAGACCATGGCAAGGACCTTAATTGGTAATCAAAAAGATTAACGATCTAGTGTACATAATCCATGTTCCTACTTGGAATGTTGTTTGAGGTGAACAACCTCACCGAAGTGGATAGTGTTGTAAATTATTTCCTGAAACAAAAATAAAGCCAGCCGCCACTGGTCTTCGTCGATCGATTGTGACTTGGCCAAGGTCGCGCTCAACCCTACTTGTGGCTCTTGATCGTTCTAGGTGTCGCGTCGCTTCGAGAATATTGGTATCTACTTCGGAGGATTTCCATTGGGATATATAAGCACTAACAACAGGCAGTGGAGTCTAGTTGAAAGTGCGGTAGAAGTGTGCTAATAAAGCGATAGACATTTGAGTATTATCCTGAGGATCAGGTAAAGCTTTTGTGTTGTATTTACAGTGTAGTAGTGAAATAAAGTTGAGTTTAATTCTACAGTGGGACAGTTATTCTCGAACCCACGAGGAAAACGTAACAATATATTTTTTCCTACAAATTCAAATGATATTATCATTTATAATGTGATATAAATTTCCAGTACATTGAGTTGAATTAAAGAGTAAGTAATTGTCTTAAAAAGTCAAAAGAGTCAATGTTGGTTCAACATTGTGAGAGCTGTTATGATGAGCAGTAGTGATATTACTGACCATCATCATAACATGAAGTAATGAACTGACACCCTTTTCCCATGGTGTAAAATTTCCATATCTAAAACATGTGAGAAGAATCTTCTATATAACTATATTGCAATATCTTGAGCCACTATCACTACAGTTTCTGCAAGCAAGGATCAGTAGGACACCTTTTCCAAATTTTGAACTTCAGTTGTCATGAAAGATAAACTTTGAGTTTGTGATTTGGTTGATAGTTTTTGTTTTGTTTATGTACATGTTCTTGAATACCTTTATCAACACTGAAGTTTCTTAGGAATCCATAGTTTCTTTGATTCTTTTCTTATTACACACCAACAGAAATCTGGTATCTCAACACAGATTTCCTTCTTAAGTCTTAAGGAAGACCATAAAAAAATTAGCTTAACATGCAGAGCATGTCACCAATTTTTTTTAAATGGATCACCCTATATTGTTTCGCATTATCAGATGCTCCATGATGAGCAGATTTCAACTAAGTATAAAACATATGGTCTGAAGCTTATGGTTCGGGAGCTACAAATTATTTGAGTTAAAAATGAGCCATTCTGAATAACTTTTGGAACAATGATTTTCAGGAAAAAATAAAAAAAACACGTCAACAATAGTATACAGGGGGACACATTTTGACATATTAGTTCTAGAGACAAATATGGAAGCAATAAATCAAGAAAAAAGTTTTTTTATTAATTCTTGAATCAAAATCTGATGACTGGACAATGAGACGAAAAAAATTTTCTATAGTATATGTTCAAAAACGTTTCCACCAACTTCCATACAATGGTACAAACGAGCTTCCATTCCCGCCCTCACATCGTTGAGAATCTCTGGAGTTATTTCTCTGTAATGCCTCATGATATTCTCTCTCAAATCTTTCAATGTGATTGATTCTGTCTCATATACTTCAGACTTCAAATGACCCCATAGAAAGAAATCTACAGGAGTGAGACTCGGAGACCTCAGTGGCAATTCAGTAGGATCTCTTCTGCCAAGCCAGCGACCAGGAAAATGATCATCCAAAAATTGTCGCACAAATTTCGTTTTCGAATAAATTTATATCCTCCTCAATTGCCCTATTGATGCACGGTATTATTCGATTCTACAACATATGCAAATATTTATCACTAGTCAAATTATCATCGATAAAAAAGGTCCTATGATGTGGTAACCTAAAATTCCTGCCCAAACATTCAGTTTTTGAGGTCCTTGGGTATGAACTTGACGGTATAAATGAGGATTTGTATCACTCCAATATCGACAATTTTGCCGATTCACCATTCAAACTAAACTTAAATTCATCCGAATAACAAATTTTATACAAGAAATTCTGATGCAAGTTGATCCGTTCAGTGAGACTTTCACAAAACTCGATACGTCTATTGAACTCATCTTCGTTCAATTCATGAACTACTCTAATCATATATGGATGAAGTTTGTACTTATGAAGGATCTTGAAAACATTTGGTTTCCACAATTATATGATATGAAGATTGATGTCAGCTTTTCATATTTCTTGGAATCTGTTTCCTAGTGCTTTAATGTCTCATGCCCAGAAATATGTCTCACTGTGAAAAATCATTCTAAATCCTGGGTTACAAATGATATTATCCAGAAGGGAAAAAATTTGAGAGAAATGTTTAGAAATATCAAAGCTTCTAAGGAAGCAGATGCCAGAAGTTTAACTTTATATCAAAACAGTTTAAAAGAACATAAAAAAAACTTGAAAGAGGCTAAAATCAATTATTTCAACAACANACTTATTTTCCTTGTGTGATCTCGACAATGCTTCTCATTTGAACTCTTCAGTTTCTTGGCTAGGAATGGCAATTTTAAAAGAAACATGAAATACCGTCACGCTACGGAAATATTCACTGAGGGCAGCACCCACGGAGAGACAAAGTTTAGGATACGATAAGACAATCAGGGATGTTCAAAATGTTAAATGATGTCTGCTATATTATTTTTCATATTCATTAAAACTGATGTTTTTAGAGTGTACATACTGACAGTATGAGCCATAGCTGATATTGGAAAATCACCAGAAATTAATTTAATCGCGAAATACGAAACATACCATCAAATGGACTTTATTGGGTCTCCGAACATTTTGATGTTTCCTGGATGTGAAAATGAATACTCTGAATATTGGTTTGTTCGGTTTTTTTTTATTATTTTTCTATAAAGTGTGTTCACTCTTGAAATAGTATTAGGTAAAAGGTATCGATTATTCTGTGTTGTAGCATTTCAAATGCTACAACTTTCCCGAAGAATTCAAAAAGGCATTAGTAATACCTCTTTTCAAAAAAGGTGATCGCTCGGTAGTAGAAAATTATAGGCAGATTTCTTTGCTCTGCTCACTGTCTAAATTATTTGAAAAAATAGTCCCAAACAGGATTACGCATTATTTGGCGGAAAATAATATACTGTGCAAAGATCAACATGGATTCAGAAAGAGTAAATCAATTGAAACTGCAACATATCACTTACTGAATTATATCTACAAAGAAGTGGATTCCAATTAATTTTGTAATGTCTTTATTTTTTGATCTATCAAAAGCGTTTGACACAGTGTCTCCTGAATTTCTAATTGCAAAACTGATCCAACTTAGTTTCCCGAATAACTTGTTACAATGGATTGAATCTTACCTCAAAGGGCGTACCATACCTGTAGAATGTGAAAATGTTAGATCAAGGTGCAACGACGTTAAGCTTGGAGTGCCACAGGGGTCAGTGCTTGGACATTTTTTTTTTGTTGTATGCAAATGATTTGTCAGAATATATGAAATATTGCCATTTTACCATGTTTGCAGATGATACCACTATCACAGTTACAGGGGGAAATATGGATGTACTGCTTAGTAAGGTAAAATGCATAATCGATGGTTTTAGCTCCTGGTGTCAGCGAAACAGGTTAATATCAAAATTCACAAAAACTGTAATAGTAAATTTCTATAATAGGAAAAATAATGTTCCAGATGACCTACAAATTATTGACGAAATAAAGATTAGTAGCGAAGTAAAATTTTTAGGAACTTACTTGGATGAAAGCTTATCATAGGATCTGCAAATAAAAGATGTCTGCAACAAACTAAACAAGACATTCTTTGCTTTAAGGCAAATGAAATCATGCATGGACACAGCAGGTCTACTAGAAATCTATTTTGCTATGTCATATTCACACATATCGCTCAATATCATAGCATGGGGTTGCAGTAATGAATTCATCAGAGTATTCGTAGCAAAAGCGCATAGTTAGACTAATTTTCAGCATTGAACACCGAGACAGCTGTAAACCAGTATTCGTTAGGGAAAAATTATTATCGGCTCCCTCCATATACATTCTTAAATGTATAGGATTTGCTAGATCTAACATCCATGAACTAGAAACAAACGCAACGGTGCACAACAGCCAAGCTGCTGGAAAATAATTCCATGAAAATCAAAATATAAATAGATTGGTACTATTCTGATCATTTCCATATTGATTCCAATTTAAGAGCCACTGGTAGACAGCTGTTTCAGCCTGTTGGGCATCGTCAGTACCGGGCAGGCGGTCCTCAATTGAAGACAAATTGTGGCGGTTCTCGCCTGCCGGGTACTGTGAAAATCATACAATTAACTGTATTGATGAGGTTTTTTTTTTATATAATCGCTACAAAGTATGCATCAAACATGTAACGTCTTTTGGAAGAAAGCTTAGTCATACAAAGAAAGTATTCCAACAATGAGAATTTGATCAACTGAAATGATAATGTGAATGAAATACATTTTCTAATTATTTTATTGTATAACTTTTGTATTAATTTTATTGAATATTTCAGGTATTGCTTTCACTCAGTTGAAAGACAAAGAACTCTATCCAATGATTAGTTCCACGGCTGCTCAATCATCAATGAGGATTATCTGCTCAGTGTCTGAAGAATCAACTCTCCAAATGCTATGCGTCCAGATTGTCTGTAAACATCCATCTCTTTACAATAAATATAAAGAAATACCAGGATTAATGAGTATATATGGAAGAAAATATTGTTGGATTGTTCCAACTGATGGTAAACTTTTAAAAAACTGTTTTCCTTGCTAGATTACTTTCATTAATATACACCGGATTTATAAACCTCAAATTCATGTTGAAGTTGGCACGGTGTAAGATACCTATACACATGCAAATCTGTAAACCAATATGACTCACTCGATTTCATTTATGTGGGCGGCTTTTCAAAAAGAACGCTGAATACCGTTAATACAGGTGTTCGTGCAGTAGTATAGTGTTGCATATTCTACAATGTTATGATGTAAATTAAGAGGTAAATCACATTGACTATGTATGGAAACACATGAATGTTCACCGATTTTTTTCAATTACTTTTGTGAATCTATAATAAATTAGAATGATTAACAGTGTCAGATTGTGTGCCTTGAGAACAAATTTTATTTTTATGCAAACATTGGAATGAAAATATTTATATTACGGTGAGTGTGAACAGTTTGCTTCATTGTTGGCCTATTGGATATAGAAATCGAAATATTTTACTAGTAATATTACATCGGTGGATCTTCTCTGGTGATATTAGGTATGTTTCGTTCACATTAGTCTATTCCAGATTTGTCCGTTCTGCCTAAAGTTGTCTACTTTTTCTTCCTAATCAATATGTCTAGAAGAGACAGTGAGAACAAAATCACCTATCAATATCATATATATATCGGCCAGTAGTGATACAGGACATATGTTTCATTTTTTGAGAACTCATCTTTACTTTTTGTTCTTATATTTTGATTCACAAACTCAAATTGCCGTTTTATCAACATTGAAATGCATATTTTTTATGCCTAGTTTGCTTTTTTGAATATTGTCCTTAGGCAGTACTCCAAATAGCGAACAAAAAAACAAAGCTATCATCAGTAAAGATAATTTTTCAAATTTTACACCATTCTGATATTTCAAGGGACGTCAGCTTCCCCAGTTTATTTGTGAATACCTCACAAATTTGTGTTGAAGAAAAATAATAGTATTGTATTAATAGAAATGTTGATCATTGACACCATCTTGCGGCAACGTCAGAACTACCCCACTGAGTCTACAATTTCTGAAACAAAAGCACATCCCAGCATTCACCAGTGTATAGAACATCTTAACAATAGTTGTTTGTTTGTGGTTAGAACTACTATGATATATTTGTCCCACATTACAAAATTGAGCATCATTCTATGAAAATATTTTGTAATATATTAAAGAAGAAAGTAATACAAATCATGAAATTATGAAACAACAAAAATTTATTAGCGCTCTGGGGCGACTTCAGCTGCAGGAAAACCCTGCAGCACCACATAATCTGAAGATCTTGATCTGTCCTCTCTTTCATAAAACAAAATTAATCGTAAATGACCTTAATATTATGATTTTCATACTTCAGTGAATTGAAATCTTCCAACATTCATTGCTAATGGATAGTATTAGTATTACTTTATTATAGTAATACATGTTCGTTATTTATTATTTATTCTTCCAATTTATACAAAATAAGTTACCTGCTACTTCTTGCTAAAGGTTTGTAGGCGCACAATACTGTGTTCCAAATTCACAGACACACAATAACTCGCTAATTATCATTACTGCTTGCAGTGCCCTCCCTTTCAACACTTTCAGTAGCTTCATTACCTTCCAGGCCAATATAGCCAGGAATCCAGACCAGAAACAGTAAATTGAGTCTTCCTGTTGGAAGTATTTTTGCAGCTTACTATCAACTTGGACGTTGCTCAGTGAAAACATTTATGTGTTTGCTTGGTTTCTGCCAATCTTCTCACACACAAATCATTTCCGCTTCTAATAAGGTCATTAGGTTGCTAGACAGATTGATATCTCTATACTGAGGCTCTGCAACTTATATACCTGCACCAGAACCTGAAAAGTGTTATTTTGAAACTATTTGCTCTTGGAATTCATCCCTATTGTATGATCCAATCCTCTGTACTCGTTGTAGGTGACAGTTGAAAGAACTTAGTTGAGGTTATTCCCAGCCATTAGTCTGCTATGCTCCGCAAAAGCCTGGTTTGTGCTATTGATAATATGCAGAACTCTTTATGTTAGCCATCTAGCCTTTCTCTTCAGAAAGATTTGGAGAGAAAGATGGTGTAGTGCTGATGGCACCGGAGATAGTCAGAAATATTGTATCCTTGTCAGCTATGTAACACGTAGCAGAATCAATCCATAAACTTTCAACTGTATAATTCTCGTGAGAAAAAAATTCTACTTTTTCACTTCATATTTTGTTCAGAGTAGAAATTAAGAAAATTAGTTTATTTTTTCATCAATTGAAGTTTTTAATTTCTGAATTTATTATTTGTAGAAGAAAAAGAAGAAAAGGAACGCCTCGCTAAACTGGAAGATGATGTGCATTGTTCAGGTTTAGATAGAATTGTAAAAAGAAGAAAAAATAGGTATACCTCAAGTCACTGTGCCTCTGTCACTCCAGAAACTAGTAGTGGCAGCAAGTGAAGCAGAGTCATGTAATATAAAGGATAGTGATGTTGGAGTACAATTTTAAATAGAAAATGCTTGTCTGGAATTTTTATAAATATTACGTGAAATAGAGCGTAATTCTTATGAATGTGACATACTATATTTCAGACGTGATATATAAAACTGTAAAGTTAAAAATAATTCAAATCCCTCAATTGTGAAAATAGTGTTACACTATTTCTGTGAGAATTCATTTTTGTTTATATTTTTATATGAATAAATAAAGATACTGTTTTCAATAGCTATCCACTAATCAGGACCTACTAAATACCTATATGTGCTTCACCTAAGTAGTTATTTGAACATATTGTATACAACAGTTTGTTGAAAAGTACATCACTACTGAGCAGAATGGTTTTGTGAGAAATAGATCTAAAGATCGCAAAGAACGAAAAAAAAAAAGGCGCAACTCAATACCGTCTATCAGATTTCCAAAAAGCTTTGTATCAAGTAGGTCATGATATATTATTATCAACTAGCGACTCGCCACGGCTCCACACGGGTGCAATGCTGATACTAAATATACATATAAACGCGTGCGATCGCTGCTAATCATAAAGTGCTAAAGGGCGAAGCGCGTCCTTGACGCGCTATTTATAGGCAGTACCGGCCCCCCCCTAGCGACACTAGATTTCTCCGATATATGAAACCGAACATGCAAAATATGTTCCTTGTAGAGAGCTAATATAGTCTGTTTGGAATAGTAGTTTTTCCTTATTTTCAATTTCATATGTGAATTTTATACTTGCAAATATGTTGTTGAGGCAAAAATAACGGTTTTCTGTTGGGATAGAACTCCAGTAATATTCATTACTACACCATAGGTTCCAAACAGTATCATAAGTACTATTACTATTATTTAAAAATTTATTCAAAAATATCTGTACTTACTTTTCAAATTATATTTTAAAAAATAACATAATTTTTTCCAAATTATTATTGTTTCTTTTAAATTCGGTTTTATACAATGTACGTAACCTAACATGAACTATAATGGTTTCATGGGAGATAATAACGATTATCATAAAAATACATGTAAACCAATTATCAAAAAATAGTTTTATTCAAAATAGAATCGGAATTAAATTAGCTTAAAAAAAATTGGTCTCACTGAGTGCCTAAGTGTCAATACGGATAAAAAGAAGAATAAATATTCTAATACAACAGATTTGACAATTTAACAAAACTGATTTAAATATAAGTATATAAAAATCAATTTCACAACATTCAAGGTTTTTTCTTTGGTGGTGTTACAAGACTTGTAGCCTTCATCGAATCGATTCCTAGGGCAGAAGACAGCAATCGTACTACACTTTTCACGTCAGGATTATCAGATTCTGCAAAAATGAAAAAAAAAAATTGAATACTTATCTGACTAGGTTTTAAACCTAGTTTACCTTCTGTGGTAATGTCTCGTTCCAACTTGAGCTTCTCTTTGTTCATTTCCAGCATTCCTTCTTCAATGGATCCCTGTGAGATGAATCGGTATACAGTAACCGGTTTACTCTGCCCCATTCGATGACATCTATCTTCGGCTTGTTTATCATTATATGGATTAAAGTCAATATCGTGGATTATCACAGTGTCAGCAGAAGTCAAATTTATCCCCAAACCACCGGCTCTGGTTGATAGAAGAAAAACAAAGTAGCTTGTATCTTCTGTGAATTCATTTATTAGATCCTGCCTGAAAATTAAATTAATCATGATTACAAACATTTTTGAAGGCCAGCAACTATATTATTATCTGTATGGGTGAAGCTTGCTTATATGTAAAGTGCTCCACAGATTAGAGAGACCTAATAAAGACGTTTTAAATTTTCATGGCCAAATATAAAATTCTGAATTTTGTTTTCCGGTATGGGTTGCCGTGTTCCAATGGAGAGGTTACCTGCAAACGTTTCGCTCATAACTATTATAGGCATATTCAGCAACGGTTGGCAGCCCGGATTTAGTTCTCTTCAATCGTGACTCAGGCCGCGAAAGTCTATATTCTTAAATCATGACAAAGCCTCATCAACGGTGCCCTCACCTTGTAGCAGGGGAAGGGCTTTTATACTCTTATAATCCTGAAAGCCATGTCGGCTGTAGCTTAGCTACGACCTCTGGCACTACTAGTAGCTAAGGTTGGTAATACAATTGAAGCAAGCGATTTTCGCCCAATTAATACTCTACCAACTTTAGAGAAAGTCCTTGAACTAGCAGTTTACGAACAATTAGTTGCATACTTTGATGATAATGAATTATTCTTAGGTGAACAGTCAGGATTCAGAAATCAGCTATTCAGTATACTTTCTCTAGATGGAAAAATGCGTATGATGAAAATAAATACACTGTAGCTGTCTTTCTTGACTGCAAGCGCGCATTTGAAACAATTGACAGAAACATTTTGATAAAAAAATTAAATTATTTATAGGTTAACAGGCTCTGGTTTCTTAGTTACCTTAGTGAAAGAAAACAGAAAACAAAAATTGGTTCAAAAATATCTGATGAGATAGATATCAACATTGGTGTTCCCCAGGGAAGTGTACTTGGCCCACTTTTATTTTTTATATACCTAAATGATATTTATTATGTTCCTGGGCTACATGAACTTAATCTGTTTGCAAACAATACATTAGTTTATACTTTGAATACAGAACTCAATGATGCTGTAGATACTCTCAAAGGTTCTGTGAAGAACATTGAAAAATATTTACATATGAATAAATTAAAATTAAATGCAGATAAAACAAAAGCTATGGTGATAACTGAATATAAACTGAACTCTATTGATTATAATGTAATACAAATTGAAATTGGTAACACTACCTTGGAATATGTGTCTGAAATAAAGTATCTAGAAGTTATTGTTGACAACACTTTGAGTTTGAACAGTCATGGTGAATACGTTATAAAAAAAAAATCAAAAAAATTATATTTTTTTTCCAGGATAGCAAATGATTTGACTATTAACTCCAGAATACTAACATATAATTGTATAATTAAACCTCATTTTGAGTACTGTCCAACTTTAATGCATTTAATAAACCACAATAGGCTTTCCCAACTTCAAAAACTCCAAAATAGGGGCATGAGAATTATATTAAGATGCAGTCGTTATACTTCCATTGATCACATGTTAAATATACTACAATGGCTCTCGATTTCAAATCGATTATTCTTTTTAACAATGGTTTTTATATTTAAAATAACCAAAAGTCTCCAACCAACATATTTTAATGAATTTTTGGTTTTCAATAATCAAATACAAATTTTTTATTATTATCTTTTTATTTAGTTTACCTTCATTATTGTTATTATCTATATACATATTTGAATTTTATTAATATTTTTGGCACTGGAAATTTAAATTGTTAATTAGTTATTATGTCTTGTAAGATTAGGATGTATCCTATAATAAAGATTACTATTACATCAAAGGATAAAAGTACCTCCCCATGCGGCACCGGAGAGTTAAGAATAAGTATTTGGTAATCTGCCCCTGGTGTTATGCTACCCGTGAACGAGGGATGAACAGCACCTGTACACACCTGTAGTACAAATGAAGCCTCTGAGATACCAGGCGACCTCTCAGAATAATTAGCCTTACATCCATACAGGGGATTCCATGGATGTGGACAACCCTTTCTACCAAATTCATGGGAATTTCATAGACCATAACTACAAACGAAAGAAAGACTCTTGAAGCAACTCATCAACAAACTGGGATGCCTATAAGGCACACTTGAAAACTTGTTTAGACTAGATGGGTTTTGTAATAAGACTACAGACTTAGAGTCAGCAGCACACCTTTTACTGGGTGCTACTTCGGTACACATCAATCTGTCTGGCTGAAGTGTATGCAAATTTTTAACGCACAAGAAACAATAATTTGAGCATTGATGAATTTAAAAGTTACATCAGACTGGTCTGGGAACCAGGTCTCTCAGGTATGGCAGGCAACGAAAAATTTGATGGGTGGACAAGTAGTAGGAAAAGAAATCATGATGGAGTGAGCACTAAATATTCTTATTGAAATTTGTATGTAATATATCACAACTGTTGAGTATGCTTTACCCTTTTTGAAAGCAGAGAAGGTTTCTGAATTTTGCAGGGTACAAACATTAAAATGTGTTCGACATTATTTTGCAAGAAAGCATGTATATCTGACAGATTTTTGAACAGTTACGAATTTGCATTGCTGGATATTTGATGATTAGTAGTTCAAGGAACACCATTCCATGAGTGATACTACAATGAAAACTCTTTAAGAAGTTGTATATATCATGAAGAAAAGTTTCTTTCAGATAAAAGCTGAGGAAAAAGGCCATCGCAAACAACTGTTTTCAAGGATATAAATATTGAGTTACAGAAAGCCACTTGTTTCGATCAAAAACCATATGTTTTCATCTCCACATAACCACCTTTTTTGGATAATTTTGGGAGACGAAGAAATGGGTGCTTTATGCAATAAAACTATCCTTTTATGATGAACCTTACAAAAATTGTCAAGATATATACTGTAAATGTTACTTACCTAATTTGAACAGCTGTACTGCCGTCTAATCTCAAAAACTTGTGATTTCTTATCCTCAAATATTCTTCTACTATGTTCAACATAATAACGTATTGACTAAAAATTAAGACTCTATGACCGTTTTCTTTCAATTCTGGCAGCATTTTGTCAAGCTGTGAGAATTTCCCCGATGTTAACATCATTGTGTCAGGAAGTTTGAACCGATTTAAACACTAAAAAAATATTTCAATGATATCAATGTATTTCATTCTTTGATCCAATTACTCACCCGAAAATCTTTCGACAATGTGTGAAGTTCAAAATCTGACATCCAGGTTAGGTCATCCACAATATACTGCACGACAGTATCTTTATATCCGGGATCAGCTGCTAGTAACCTAGCCATGTCTTGCAGTTGTTTCAAATCATAGTGATACCTCATTAACAAAGGGTGATTGCACAATTTCCTCAAATCCGACATAATACTCATGCCACTGTAGGTATTTTTTCCATTCTATTGCGGACATAATTAATTAAAAATAGAAAATTTCGAATAATAAAAACAACAAACCTCATCAATGTTTTTATAAGATGCCACAAGATGTTCATAATTCTCCTTTTGTGAAGGTACCATAGGAACCGTCACTATAAAGTCCGTTTTTTTTGGCAAATCTTTGAGAACATCACATTTTAGTCTACGAAGTACAAACGGTTTCATTATCCTTTTTGCTTGCTCAATTTGTTCTCTCTCAAATGTCGGTAGGGAATCATCTTGATCTTTTTTCTGAAATTATTATGAATAAAGACTGCCTAAAATAAAAAATTATACTTACAGAATTTTTCTGGAAAAGGCTTTTCAAATCGTCTGTTTTCTCTGCAAAGATCTTCGGCATCACAAAGATCAGTAAAGACATGAGTTCCAGAAGATTATTTTGAAGCGGTGTTCCAGTTAAGAGAATTCTATGTTTAGCCTACAAAATAATCAATCACTCAATAACCTGACAGAGAGTGCAGATCCATCAAGGGTGACTTAACAGTATGAATAGAAAGTTGTGGTAAATTCATCAATTGCCTACAAAAACACTACCAGAGAAAATTGGAACTGAAACATATATATGTAAGCTTGTAGGTTATCAAGCTTGGCTTTGTCGCTGCCTGTCGACTCGTGCGCGAGAGTCAGTATCTAACAAGACTTCGAGCTGTTAACATCGATGTTATTGTACAGAGGTAGATGAAGGTTTGCTATCGGCAATTGTATTGATTCAGGTTAGTTTTAAGTAGTATTAAGTTTATACGTTTACTGTAATATTTCTGGCTTTCGCATATCAATTATATTGCAAGCGTTGATTTATAACCTAACCTTCACTCCATTTAAGTTCCTTGAATAGTGGCTTACAAATCACGGCAAATGTATTGATTTGTAATTGTAATTTAAAAAAAAAAAAAAAAAGAAACCTATTATCAAAACATAATATTCAACTGACCGAGTACAAGTAGCTCTTTATTGAAAGTTGTATTTGAGATCACAAAAAAAAGTGATGGGATATTACACTAAAGATAGATGATCATATAATTGAAGACCCAAACCCAATCATATCTAAACTCAATGTTTTTCACTCAATACTTGATTAATATATTAAGCGAAATCTTTTCACAGAAAGTTGACTACCCTATTTATTGAATAACAAACTCAAAATTAAAAATTGTCAGGTACAGATGAGATTCCAACTTTTATGCTAAAAAGAGTTCTTCCTTCATTAATACAACCAATAGCACATTTGATGAACATGTTGTTCTCATCCTCACCAATTAAAAATCAGAAAAGTAATTTCTATATTCAAAAAAACGGGACAAGATTTTGATGAAGATTATCGTCTTATTATAGTTCCATATGACCTTTCTAAATTATTTAAACATGCCTTTCTGGGTGGAATTCAATCATCTTTAAATCAACATCCCATTTTAATCCAAAAGCAACATGGATTTTGTCAACAAAAATCTACTAATACAGCAATGTTTTCATCAATAAATCAAATAATCACACATATTGATGAAGGTGAATGACTGGCAGCGCTTCTGTGTGTTTTGTGATTATTTATGTTTGTGTTGTCCAATATTTATGACTCATTTTTATTGTAAATGACTTGTTACAAACATGTATGTTACTTATACTAAAACCAATAATGATTGAGAGTAGAAGTAAGCCCAGTTGACAGCAAACTAATTTATCTTTTGTAATTGTGGAACTTAATGATGTAGAAATGCCCGGTTGGTTATTCGGAGGTACACACGTAGAATTACAGCACATATGCACAAAGTCATCTTTTGGTGGCTGATGATCTCTTTCAAGACAGTGAAATACTTGCAGTACAATTTGTTTTTCTCTTATGGACCGAGACTCTGAGCGTTTTACCTTTTTCGACATTTTTTGAGTAGTTTGAGAACGGTGTAGAAATATAATTATGTAACGCTTAAACACTTATTAGCACTATTATTTTCACCAATTGTTATCACAACACGTCGATTGCTGACTAACTTAACTGTAAATCGTACAATTCACGATGTATAATTCACAAACCAATGATACGCTCATGGCTGCAAGTACATTAGTGAAGACTGCAACGATGAGATGGAAGTTACGGTAAAGTGACAAAGACAGAAATATCGTTGCATACAGCGTTGCCACTAATTGTAATAAATATCTAACACTATACAGAAAATAATGAATTTTAACTGATCAGTAATCAGGAAATGTATAAGTATTACTCATTACAAGCTCATTACTGATTTTTGTCATAAATAATACCTTTTAATCGTATTAGTATTGTGTATTATCTATAATTTGCCACAACCTACAACTCTACTGCTTACTATATTTTGATTCTGCTATAAACTGGTAACGTAAAATTTAGATATGACAACGCGCTTTACTCTCAATCATTATTGGTTTTACTATAGTCAATTCACTTTACTTTTACCGACTTCAAAATTGGAATATTATGGTATATCAGGTGTTTCACTCATTTGGATAAATCATTTTCTCTAGAACCGGAATCAAATGTCATTGGATGTGATGAAAAATAATAGTACTTTCAAATTCAACTCTGAATTTAGGAACAATGGGTGTACTACAGGGCTCCATATTAGGTTCTCAAGTAGACATTATGCTCAAGAAGACATTGGTCCAAAAATTTACATATTTACATACGTGAAGGCTTCAAAGCACTTGTGTAATTTCAAAACATACTGAAAGCATATCTGTTAGGAAGTTGTTTTTATATACTGGCAGATTTTTTTCACAATTCTTAGGTCTGTGCTTCTTTTACTATTGCCTTAATCAGTTCAAACTTTGATTATTTTTATTATATCTATTTTATTGTATAGACAGTCATACAAAATTTAATATTGAAGTATAAATGAAGTATTATTATTATTATATCACACACACCACACTGCATCCAGTCAAAGACCGGTAATGTAAATTATAGTCATTACTAATATTGATAAAACATACCTTTTGCATGAATATTACTGAAGTTTTTTCCCAACACCAAATCGTTATTTTTAACACCTCGACAAGTGTTTCGATCACCAAGTGATCATTTTCAAGAGGAAGATTAAACCGTTTAATCTCCCTCTTGAAGATGATCACTTGGTGATCGAAACACGTGTCGAGGTGTTAAAAATAACGATTTGGTGTTGGGAAAGAACTCCAGTAATATTTATTACGACACCAAAGGTTCCAAACAGTGCATCATAAGTATACCTCTTGTATACTAATTACACTCATATGATACACAGACTTTTCTACAATTATGGGGAATATTTTGTTTGTACTCACATTTATCCTAATCAAATTTTCATATCGCTGAGTGTTCATATTCTTCAACATGTGGGCTTCATCAAATATAACGTAATGCATCCTGGTGACTCTAAACATTTTTCTCTCTTCTGGGCTGTTGCCTACCATTGTATATCTGTTGAAAATAATGAAGTGAGTTAACTTTCAAAGTCATCCACGATTTACATGGAATTATTTGAATATAAAAAAAGATTATTACGTTGTCAAAATAACATCAAATTCAGAAAGCATTCCTTTTGCCAAATCAATTCGGAATTGTCGTCTTTCCTCTGTACTTCCGTAATACATGAAAATTCTCAGTTCAGGACACCAACGAGCAAATTCATTTTTCCAATTATCTGTAAATAAATAAATTTTCATTAATAATGATAAACCACAACAAATGAATTCAATTTATTATAAACTACTTGGATTTTGAAGATAATATACGAGGGCAGTTCAATAAGTACTTAGCCGAGTTTCATCATGGTCGCATGTCGGTTTTTGTTGAGCCACGTTCAGTCGCTCTGAAAACGGCTACAATGGAGAAAAACGTGACAAAAAACCAAGATCTTGTATTGGCGCCACCGTTAAACAACTTCAGAGCAGTGTTTGACGCTGTTTAAGTGCAATCCAATAAGAGTTGCTGCGTCGTTTCGTGACTGTCTACGAAACATATATCTACTGGTACACACCAAGGAACAGTCGAAACAGTGGACTTCACCCGACGAACGAACTCCAAAGAAGACAAAAATTGCCCTATCCGCTGGAAAGGTGATGGCCACAGTTTTCTGGGATTGACAAGGTGTGATCTACATCGACTACCTGGAGAAGGGCAAAACGGTCAGAGGGCTCTACTATACCGAAACGCAGAAAATACGGCCGCATTTGGCGAAGAAAAAAGTGCTTTTCCGCCGCCGCCACGGCAAAATTGGTCTACCAACTGCTGCCCCATCAACCGTATTCTCCAGATTTGGCCCTGTACGACTTCTTTTTGTTTCAAAACTTGAAAAGGTCACTGGTACTTTTCTGACCTCCAGGATACGTATTTTTCAGACGAGTCAAAGAAGTTAGAGCATCGCTGGGTCAAGTATAAAAGGAGACTGTGTTGAGAAATGAATCGCCAGTTTTCCAAAATTTTTGTTTTTTTTTATAGCCTAAGTACTTATCGGACCGCCCTAATGTCAACATCTAATACAAAAAATCTTACCAAGGGTTGAAGAAGGCACAATGACAAGATGAGTGCTTGAGGCTGCTCCAATTTCTTTCAAATGGGCAAGAAAAGATATTATTTGTACAGTTTTTCCGAGACCCATTTCGTCAGCCAAAATACCATTCACTCCTTGAGAATATAAAACCACTAACCAATTCAGGCCAACCATTTGGTAACCCGTTAGTTTCAAGCTGAAAATCATTTATCATCTGCATTGTTTAATTCATTTAATGAAAGTGAAGTTTTTCTTATGAATGACAGGTTGAGTAAGATCAGATTCTGTTCAAACTGTAACTTGGTTTATTGGTATCATGAATATATGCTAAAAAATACATTACAATAAAGTTGATGGAATTAAATTTTTAAGATATGTTCCTGATAAAACCCTGAACCTGAGAAAAACATTTCAAATACATATATACAATAAAATTTCTAAACAATTCAAGTAACATTTTTTTTTGTGAGATTTTCACTGAACAATTCCATCACATATTCCTAAACAATCATTTACTCAACTAGAGTTGAATATAAATATCACTGTTCTAACCTTTAATACTGTCTATTTAATCATAGATATATAGATAATGTTTTATCATAAAGATCAATTTATAATTCATCACATCTAAAAATCGATGTGTTGATCTAACACTACGTAACAAACTCATCAACATTATAGAATACATTTGAAATTGAAAACGATTTCAATTTGCTGATGAATCTGGTCAATTTTGAAGTATCTTTTATTTTCACAGAGAAAGCGTGAATTAATACTTCCATATAATTAAAAGACTTTTTGTAAGTGGTCTGATTTTTTCAGTATCAATCGTTTGGTTTGTCTCTCTGAATAGTTATGAATGTCACAATTTTTTTTAGAATTACATTTTTCTATGAATATAGGAAAAAATTTCATAATAGAGAATGCCTGTGAGGGGTAATAGGTTATTCCGGTACGCTGAAATATAGCTTATGACTTGATGAACAGATATTCTACTTGACTCAATAAATTTTTTGTATTACAAAACAAAATATGCAAATACGTACTAGAAGAAACGCCATTGTGTTTATTACACAAACAAATCAAGCCGGAAATATAAATTGTTGATTCCATGTTTATTTCAATTCATTTTTTTATTGTAACTACATAATATTTGTATGGTAAGTTACATACTGAAAAATCGATGAGTAATCAAGCAGCAAACTTGGGTAATTCTATCTTGAAGAAAATAGGAAAAAAATATGTTGTCTATTAAAAAAAATACTTTCGTTATGCATTTCACATATACTTACGAAGATGACAAAGTGCGAGGTTGTTCTTTAACTCCTGCACCAGCAGCAACTGCTCTTTCCAACTGTTGGGCTAAATTGGTACACTTCTTCATCAAATGCTTAATGTTATTTCTAGTAGTAAGCACTTGTTGTGCAGCATTCAACAAGTCTGTACTCAATTTATTGGTTTGCAGTTTTTCAACCTGGAAATTATTAAAACATTCAACATTTCATAAACTACACCTTACGATTTGATCTCCACAAACTTTATTTAAAAAAAATATCACGACGAATCGTAAGATGTAGTTTTTGAAATTATTATGGATCATCAATTAAAGGTCGAATCAATCAGAAAACATTCAACATATTTGTATTTTCAATGAAATGGAATATTTAAACAAAGTAATCAATAATCCAACATAAATATGTGTTCAATATTCTTGGCATCGATATGGTTTTATTGATGAGTTGGCTAATCAAAAAGTTATCCAGAATGCAATCATCAATAGCGATTTGGAAGGAGAGCTATAAAAGTCTTGAAACAGATCTTTCTGCTTTCTTATAAGTACTATGACAGGGGTCGGCAACCTTTTAACAACGAGGTGCTCATGTCCAATTTTCAACAAAGTCAAAGTGTCACTATAAAAAACTGTATGATTTTTATAAAAAATTATTTAAAGTAATGAGGAAGTTAACTAATAAAATAAAATTATCAACAATATTTCCAAAAATTTTAATCAAAAAGGAAACAGCACATGAAACGTTTTCAGTGTGATCTGTTTCCTTGTGTTTCTCGCAAAAACTTTTGTATTTCTGATTCATGTCTAGTTACTTTCAATATTACACACGCCCCTGAATTTTCTGCTGTTAGCCAGCTTCGATATAGATTCAAAATGATTTTCATATGGGAAAAAATTTGCTTACACTTTTAGGATGATCCGAATGCTAAAAGCATTGCAAATGCCACTTCTATGAGGCAAATAAACTTATCTGGCAAACTAGCCAAGGCCGTAGCCAGGGGGGAGATCAAGGGGGATTTATCCCCCCCGAAAGTTCTACAAGTAACGGCCATCTAAAAATTATATCAAATACAACGATTGGCTTGTTTGAACATTACAGGAGCCATGAGAATAACACCAACCGCGGCAATGGAATTAATTACTGGTCTGTCTCCTCTGGACCTGTACGTTAAGGAGGTTGCGTTAATGGCCATGTTACGATAGCACACGGCTGGTGTAAACCTCGAAGTAGGAATGGGTGGGTCAATTGAGGCTGAGCATATGGCGAGAAGCGCTTACTGCGCAACCTTTGCTGCAGGCAACCAGTGATGCAATTGTACCCAGGTTTGTGTTTAATAAATCCTACAAAATACAAATAAAACAGAGTCAGATGCTACAAATGCTATACGCATATATACAGATGGCTCAAAAACGAAAGAAGGTTCAGGATATGGAGTGTACTCCAAATCACTAAGCCTAAGGATTAAGTGGGCAATGGGAAAAAATACCAGCGTGGTTCAAACAGAACTGGCTGGTATCTCAATTGCCACAAAAGAAATAACCAGGAAAAGAATTTCTGACAAAATATAACAATCCGTACTAATAGCAGACAAGCCCTATTAGCCTAGAACAGACAACGTGTTACCTCAGGCCTAGTACTAGAGTGCCACCAAGATTTACCCAAAGCCTCGGTAGATAATAACATTATCCTGGCGTGGATTAAAGGGCATGACAGGAGTAAAGGTAATCGCATTGCCGACTCTTTAGCCAAGGAAGTGGCTAGACTAAGAATTTTAGGACCCAGTGGCACCTACGGCCTGATGACTTCGACAATTGTGGAACTAGCCAAATGTTATACCCATGCCCTCAAGCCCTAAAGAGATGAGATGAAATCAAAGGATGCAATCTTGCCAGGATCACCCTGGGCGACCCCGGGAAGCTTAACGCTTAACAGTAGGATTTCTGACTGGCCACTGTCAACTAAGAAAACACCTCCATAATATGGGGCTAGTGGACACACCTCTATGCAGGATGTGTGAACAGGAAGATGAAACTGTCAGGCATGTCCTATGCGAGTGTCAGGAGTTATCTTCAATAAGAGAGTGTGTGTTCGGCGAGTTTTGGCCTACTTCTGCCGATATAAAGGAGATGTCTCCTAGTGACCTGTCCACCTTCCTGGAAAGGACAGGATCGACGATGAACTAGGAGGACAACTCCTTGGGACAAGAACTATCCTAGGTCCGTCCAATAACAACACCTTGTACAACTTTTGCCACTAAACTTATTTCGGAACTTATCTTTATAATAGCTTTACTAAACTAAACTACTCTCAACTGAATACACGCTTATATAATAGTAAATCCGCCTCCTAGAAGTTTCCCCTATAACCGTCTTCTCTTTTCTAAAAGCATCTCGTCGCTATCGCATCGTTCTAGTCTGGCCTGCCGTCACTTAGCTCGGTCAAGATACATTGCCGTGTACCGTTTCGTAGATTATTTTGAATTAACAATAAGTATTCTCAAAATTAAATCTTTATTTTATTGCTTCTTCACAAAGTTATGTGTGCCATTTTGAACTGCCAGGAGTGCCAAGTCTGGCACGCGTTTCGTAGGTTGCAGACCCCTGTACTATGACTACGAAACTTGATTCCATATAAAACTTATTTTTAAACTATAATTGAAAATAAGAAGCTTGTTTACACATTGCGTTTCTAGATATTATTAGAATACGGTTAAGGCTTTTGCAGCCAAGGTTTTCAGTGTCATGAAAAGAGAAATGAAAATCTCTATGTTTTTTACCACTTTTAATTGTAACTAACGTTACTGCAGTTTCGTCCTATATGGGCATTCTCAAACTAATACAATAAAACATAGAAAACATGTAAAAAACATAGAAATTTTCATTTCTCTTTTCATTATGATCTCCTACCACGTAGTAAAGGCTACATCCATCAATTTGTTTTCAGTGTCATTATTTTTTGGGTTTGCAGCTGTCCATTTTTGGAAGAAATTCCAAAAATCGACTGCCTTCAAACCCGAAAAATAGTGAAGCTGATTAATACACATCAGGTCGGAGTCAAATGATGAGTACAACGGAACTCTCGGAGAACAGGGCCATTGAATCTGGTGTACCACTGGGTTCTGTGTTAAGCCCTATTCAGTTTCTGCTATATATGAATGACATATCTATGATTAACATATCTGGTAGTTTCACTCTATTCGGGGATGATACTACATTATTGTGGAAAGAAAAAACTCAATGAAGCTAAATAAAATAATATCATCCGACTTGAAGAAGGTGAAGAGCAGGTGCGATGCAAATTTACTCTCAATGCATCCAAAACGAATATAATATCATTCAAATGTTCGCTTGATGAAATTTGAATAGACGCTGCCATATTACAAAATAAATTAAACACAAAGTTTCTCGGTGTATTCATTGATAATAGGCTGAAATTTGATGAACACCTTAAACAACTGAAGAGTAAGATCTCCTCCAGATGTTATGCAGTTAGAGTGGTTTCAAATGAGTTGGGTTTCCATGTCGCAAAGACCGTTTACCATGCACTTGTTGGAATATCTTTTTGGGGAGCATGCAACTCATCCCTTCTCTCTTCTGTACTGATATTACAGAAGAGGGCACTAAGATGTCTCTGTAAAGTCAAACCCAGAGAATCGTGCAGGAATTTGTTCACTGCCAACAAAATGTTAACAGTCGTCGCACTTTTTATCTTAGAGACGGTTTGCCTTATTTATAAACATAAATCGAAGTTCAATTTTGCTGCTACTCCTTATGCTACTCATAATAGCAATTATACCTTTAGACTTCCCATCCCAACTTCGAATTTAATCAAGGATTCCATATACTATAATGGTGGTAAATTGTTCAATCATTTACCATTAGAAATAAGATCTGCAAATTTAAGCAACATTCATTTCAAAAAGGCGGTGAAGAACCTACTTGTTGATAGACCCTATTATATTTTGGAAGAGTATTTTACCGAATTCTTTTAACAATATATCAGCAATTTACTCTTTGTACTATCACTTTATACATGGTAGTATTTTATTTATACATTTTTAGAACTTTTTTGAAACTTTTTTATATCTACATTTATACTTTTTTAGTACTTTTTCTATATTAACATTGTATTTCTTGGACTTTGTCAATAAGATGCAAATCTTCGACCAATAAAGTATATTTTGATTTGATTTGATTTAATTGATGGAATGGAATTTTTGAAGGTTATTCAAGAAAGGATGGAAATGGAAAAATCCAGTAACTTCAATCTGGTTTTTTGTAGTTTTTAGCCATTGGCTAGAATTGCCAACACCCTTACTTCGCTTTCCAGGTGAAAATGGTTTATTACCCCCGGTACTGACAAATTGAAGTCCATCCTGACCGCTTTCAGGATATTGATGGAACTAATTCTGAGAAGGCTCATGTGGACGACTTGCAGGAGAGATATTTGATGACCACCTTAAGAATTATGAACAGGCATTCACAAAGAAGTGTAAGTAAGCAATATAGAGTAACCCGGCAAAAGTCGAGTTAAGTGAAGAAATGGTCTAGACCAAGAGATAAAGAGGATGTCAGAAGTTTTCTTGGATTGTGCAAGTACCATGGAAATTCAAAAAAAAATTGCAGAAGAAACTCCTTTGACAGAAATAACCATTCAGTTCAACAAGATTCCTGAATATCACCAACCTCTATTCTGGAATATCCACAAGAGACAGCAGACTTCATTCCCGACTGCAATGCATCCCGATACAGAATTGGAATCTTTCCTATCCCAGAAGTAAGATACTAAAGAACTAAAACCAAAAAACAAATTGTAACATCAGAAAGAAGCTTTCAAAAATAATGAAATCTTTAGAATATTTCTACAATTACCTATTGAGAGGCCACCAACAGAGATAAACTACTAGCAAAAAATCAATATGTGCTGTCACAACTGTGAGATGGAGGATCCAACTGATGACATGAAGTAAGAAAAAAGGTACTGATCTAAAGTTGGTTCGAAGCTGGCTCAAAAATGGAGTTTGGTTGCATTGCAAGTATAATGCGGTTATTGAACATAGGCGAGGAAAATCTCACCTTCAAAAAATTTCAGTAGATATCCTCAAATATTCTTGTAACTAATGATATCAACAAATGTAGCAGTTAGTTGTACTCATTCAAGTGTAATTAAAACAGATTACTCATACAGTTTGAGGAACTGGAAAAAGTCTACGAATTTATGAGACAACACCTACAGGTAACCAGTGAAAAGATAAAAATGTGACTAAACAGGAAATTAACAGATATAGATGATGAGTACCTCAAAACAAGAAGTGTGAATATCCCAAACTCTAAAGGAAAAAATTTTAAGTACAGAGAAGATGAACAAAAATGTGAATACTGTCTTTTCTGTCAGAGTTTAAAAAATATTGCAGTCAAATGATCAGTTTCCTCATTATTCTGTTATATTTCTTGATTTGGTGACTTTATGACTTTGTAGCTGACATATTTGAAAGGAAACTTAATATTTTCCTACTATTATATTTGTGGAAAACAGTGTTTGTAAACTTTATAGTACAATTCAAAACAAATGAAATTTGGCAATAATTAATTGTTTACATTTAGAGTCATTCTTAAGATTATGAGTTAAATTAAACTGTACCAACTAAAACTGCTGATAGTTCAATTTTAAATATACTTTTGAACAAAATGTACTTACCAAATCTATCCATCCTACAAATGGACGAGATTCTATAATAGCTTCTGCTTTCTTTTTCGAACAAGAGTTCATCAGCTGCAATTCATTGACTGTTGCTGTTTCAAAAAATTCTAATACTCTTTTCTTATCACCAGTTAGCTCATTACTGATTTCCACATCAGAATCTTCATCACTGAAATATGAAATAGTATCAGATGTTATTAATGGCTACAAAAACTTTCACAAATGAAGGGGATGTAAACAAATTTAAATCAACTAACAGATTTTTAGTTCCATATTTAGAAATAATTTAAATTAATGATGACTTTGAAATTAAGGAAACATCAATTATTTCTCAACAGATATTCTGTTAAAAAAAAATCTTTTTAAAATCTGTTTTTTCCGTTAACCAGCTGTCACACCCCTACGAACAACAACCCTCAGAAGTCCAAGCGTGCAAGCTAAGGATAAACGAAGTCTTACCTTTTAATGTGTGATTTACTCTATAAATTACATAATTTTTGTATTTCTAAGCCGAAATATATCAAACAGCAAATGTTAAGTGAAGCTCACTACAATATAATAGTGAAAACTATCCTTTGTGAGGATACTTCCACAAATGTCTGACATACTATAATTCATTGTCAATCATATTAGCTATGAAAATAGTTAATTTCCGGCAGACATATGTTAGAGGAAGAGGTAAATGTTTCTGATAAAAAAAAAGTTTCATTTGTTATTGTTTATGTTTTTACTTTAAATGTCTGCAACCAAGTCTCGTAGCACTCAATATGTAAACTTAGTATCAAAGCTTAATAAGGTGATGAAATATCTTAGATGATCTATAGCTGTTTTATAATACTGACCTATCAAATACTCGTTTATCTTTGTAATTATTACTACCAGTACTGTCATCACTATCATATGATTTTCTTCTTTTTGCTGCAACAAAAGGAGTTTTCATGGTTATATATTTTCAATAAATACTTTTTATGTTTACCTTTTTTCTTTTTTGTAGGTTCTTCTGTTGCCTGTCTTTTAAAACTTTGCGTTCTGTCAAATAATCCATTAGTAGTCAGTTGTAATTGTTTAGACTCCTCAAATTTTCTATCATAATCCTGTTTCCATTCATCATAACCAGTATAATCTGATTGTTTATTATAAGATCTTGATAACTCAGCAGCTGCTGCATCTGTATTAAAACTATGCTTCGATAAGCAATCATGTATTTTCTAAAATACCAAGTTGTATTAATATTTATCAAAAAAATAAAACTTTATTTTACCATTGCTTCCAAATTTGGAAATATTTCCAAGAGGAATTTCATTTGCTTCTCTTTTTCGAGTATAGAAGGGTTTTTCATGGCTCTCTGGCTGAAGCCGTTATATTTACTATTGAATGAACTATGATTTACTACTACACCCTGTATTTCAGATTTACTATTATTTCCTACTACTTCCTGTGAGGATTGTTCTTGAGTTTGAACGTCACTATTCTTTGCTGCTATTAACTTTGATGATTTCTGTTCTGTTGCAACTGTCTCTAGTTCTGAATCACTGTCTGAAGGAATGACAATTATTCTTTTTCTGACAACTTCTCTACTCTTTATATCTTCTCCAGCTAAAATGCAGAAAAGATATAAAAATACCCTAAAATTAGTTCAATAACTTACAAGAGCTGAGAACATCACTGGAATCCTGATGTGAAATTTGAGATTTCTTCTGATATCTGAAACCACGAAGTTTTTGCAAATTAGGACTATCTTCTTCTGCCATTATGAAGCATCAAAGGAAAATGAATATTAACAATTATTAAGATTCCCAACTAGATGAAGAACCACAAACCACACTTATTAACTCTCGGATCGAAAATACAATTTACACTTAATAATATACATACAATACGGTATACGGTTATGGAGTATCCTCTTTAGGGATTTTTTTTAGTCTTGGTAATACTGTATCATTGGTGTATGGCCAACATTGAGAAATAATTCCAGCAAGAAACGTCACAAATCGGCAATGCTCGCTTACATAAATGTGTTTTATGTAAATAATAATTTGCTTTTTCTCTACAACTATCTTCTGCAATGTAAGTTTTTCAAAAAATATTCACATTATCAAAAATAACATGTGTTTAAAAAAGTTCCATACAAATATTAACGGAAATAAAACTTTTTTGGATTGTGATAAAAGTACATTAAAAACGAAATTTGATTCTTACGGTTTTTTCCGAGAGTTTGTCTGAGAACTATCAAAACCAGGTAAAAAACTTTGTATCACAATGAAGAGACAATGTCAATATTTTCTAAACAGACAAAAGAAGGTTTTTTTAAAAACTGCAATATACTCTGCTTGCGAGTTGGAAGTCTATATAGCATGTTCGACAATTTTTATTCATTTCAGAATAACCGAACGAAGGAAGTTATGTCAAAAAATATTTCGTGACAGGAATCCTGGATTCCAAATAGTTTAACAATTTCAATATGTGATATTGATTTATGCGGTTTCTAATATTGGGTGATCAATTTTTACGATTAATGATGCTGAATTAGTGAGAAATGAGAGCTTCAAAACTAAAAATTGAAATATTTCTTTCGAAGCATTTCTTTGGTGTACCTATATCATGGTTCGTATATAGAGAGGATTACGAAATAGTTCCGATTTTTGACAGGAGGTACCTGTGGTAAAGGGAAATCCGTGTTCCTCCAATAACGTCATGCATTTGTTCAGACGAGTTCTCAAATTCGACAGAAGATTTTTGATGGAATGTTTCAATCAAGAGAAAAATAGATGAATCTATCGGATGAATCGGTGGATCCATCGATAAATTCAAAAATTCGAATTTTATTCATTGTTAATTATATTTTGACGCTTCATTCTTTATAGATTATTGCAAAACTATCCACTATTTTCCCGTTCCACTTGCTTGCGAGCGCAACTGTCGTCAACTCAAGTGGAATGGATTATGGAGCGTTTTGGGTGGTCATGTAAACATTACAAATGTGGAGGTTGAAAAAATAAAGTAGAAGTTTTAGGTAGGTTAGGTAAGCCTTAACAATAAGTTTCAATAATTGCAAGCTAACATTATTTATATTTGAAAATAAGTATAATTTAATTTTTTGTATATGATTTCAGGAAAGTGTTCGAATAAATTAAGTTTGAATGTAATGAAAATGTCCTTTACGGCTACTGAATATTTGTTGATGCGTCGCAATAGTGCTCCACAAACTTATTCATCTAGTACAGATGAATGCAACTATACAAAATTATATAAATTCTCAAAATGATGCCAAAGCATAAAAGGTAAGTGCTTGTTATTTGTTTAGGAACCACACGTTAAAAGGTAGGACTTCATTAGTCCTTAGCTCGCACAAGTTTCTCAACTTCTGAGAGTTGTCGTTCGTATAGGAGCGACAGCTGATTACGGAAAAACAGTCTGCAAGACTATCACTTGATTTACGAAAAATAACGATTTCACAATTTGTTACGCAAGACCGTATTGTGCCTGTGATATTAGGAAACTGATTTCAAAAATCATGATCGAAATGAACAATCGAAAACTAATCACTAAAAATATGAAATGATATAATATTTCATGTTTGTTTTGTGGTTAATAATTTACCAACTCACTTTCCAGTAATAATTTATGATTCGAACCTACCGCATGAGATATTTTATAAAATGCTAATAGACTTGTCTCTTAATTCTAAATGTAGCCACGACACTTTATTGTTTATAAGAATTAATTGATGCACCGGTTTTGATACTCATCAAGTTCTTGAAGATTTTAGAATTTCCAATTGTGATTACCATGAACAGATCTTGATGGAACAAAATGCTTTACAATGTTGCATGCTACATCAATGTTCGATGTCATCATCGATGGCTGAAACCTCTCTACTCCAGGAAAATGTACATCTCAAGTAGTGTCTGCTCAGAGTCCAAAGTTCTATTTGTACCACTCTCAACGATGAATGATAACAAAATAATCAGAATGATCCAAATATGAAAAAGTAATAGATCGTGCTTCAACATAATAACAAAATAAAAATATCAACTAGTAAGGGTATTACGAAATAAATAAAAGTGGTAACCATGTCTGTGGATGATAGGAATATGAAACTGGGCATGCGCAATAAGCTTTTGTCATAAATAAGTGAAGAAGTAGAAAATTCCTAAATAATATCCTCAGAGTAACAAAAGACAATAGAGAGGCCTTTTCCATCCTTACATTGAAGGCAGCATAACTTTGTTTGTTTACGGGAAGAATGGACCATAAAACAGTGGCGGTTGGTTTAGTTGATAATCAGTGGGATAGTATATATTTTTAAAATAAATTATTTCAGGTAAAAATGTAATCTGTTTAAATAATTCCTACAGAAAATCTGGTTTATTATTAATGATTATGGAAATGAGGCCAGTTTTTCTACCACCTACTAGATTTTTATTTATGCATGGCTTTATAATAAAGCGCTTGGTTTACTGGGTTAAAATTAAATTATTTCATATGAACTCATTCATAATGATAAATGTTAATTTCAAAAGTAATGAACTTTGCTTCATAAAATCAGATGAAGACATTGGTGATTTAATCTCAGATTTGATAAACAAGTGATACGGTTTGTGAGGTCCGATATAAAGAATGTTCGATTAGAAATCATGATTTCATTCAAAATTGGTATCTAGGGGTCTTTGTGGACCGACATTATGAAAGGGGATATTTTTGATGTTTTTAATGATCATTTTTTGATCTTATTCTTATAAATGAAGTTTTTGAAACTAGGTTTATATTATTACATTATTTGACATATCCCAACCAAAAAAAGGTTAAAACAATGACAACCGTCATTTCCTATTGAATATTATCTGTATGCAACGCAAGAGCCTCGTGCGAAGAAAGAAAAACCAAAACGGAAATCATATTCTTTGTGTGATGTAAGTTAGTTGTTGAGTGGGCAATAACAGATTTGACACCGGTTGCACAAGAATAACTATTTTGATACAAACTGAATATTGAGCAGAAAGCTTTTTAATCTGTTGATCACGGAATGAATATGACCTATGGCACACATATGAAAAATATATATTTCATTTTTGAATACAGTTTTTTTTCATTAACATTAATGATTTTTCGTCATTATAGAATTCGTCAGCATGAATTATTGAAAAAAAAACATAGTGTTGGTCCACAGAGACTCCTAGATACCAATTTTGAATGAAATCACATAAAAATATCAAACCTCAATCGTAATTATAAATATTCATGATTTCTAATCGAAAATTCTTTATATCGGACTTCACAAACCGTACCGCTTGTTCATCAAATCAGAGAATAAATCACAAATTTCTTCATCTGATTTAATGAAGCAAAGTTCATTACTTTTAAAATTAACATTTATCATTGTTATGAATTAGTTCATTTGCAATAATTTAATTTTAACCCAGTAAGCCACTCGCTCTATTATAAAGCCATACATGAATAAACATCTAGTAGATGGTAGAAAAATTGGCCTCATTTCCATAATCATCAATAATAAATCAGATTTTCTGTAAGAACTATTTAAATAGAAATACATTTTCAGCTGAAATGTATTTCTATTTAAATGTATTTATAAATATATAATATCCCTCCTATTATCAACTAAACCAACCGCCACTGTTTTATGGTCCAACTTAGTTCAAATGTAAACAATCTCTCCATAACCCCTTATATATACTCGTTATCTTATTTCAGTCAGATTTGTGGGCTTATGGCCTCTCATCCTTTCGGCTGTTTGAGTTTCTCTTGGGTTCCTGTGGCGAGGCGGCAGGGGATTGCATGGCCCTCGGTCGGCTTCTTTTGGCTTTTGGTCCTGTGTATGGAAGTCGCAGCGTACTTCTTTGGCTTTGCGGCCGTTTAGGCACTATTTCTTGTTTCATTTTCCGGCAAGCATGGATTGCAGTACCGGAAACTTCACTAGAAGCGCCTGCAGCTGCCCTAAGACCGTTGGGAGACCTTCGGGAGAGCTGCAGGCGTTCTCTGACGATGAGACGGCCTTCGCGTACGAGACGTCGCTCCTGATTGTGTTTCTTCCGACAGGCCTTGGGATTGTGGTCTGTCTGTTTTCGTTCGGCCTATCTGAGGCCCTTTTATTTTCAGGGCGTTCTGGGCACCCATGGAAGCTCGCTGGGTGTTCTCCCTTGCAGTTAAAGCATCGCAAGGGCGAGTTTTTATGTCTTTTACATTCCTTGGTCATGTGCCGTCCGGCACATCTTACGCAGGCTGGAACTGCTTCACAGTTGCGTTGCGTGTGACCGAACTTTTGGCATCTGTAACATTGCCGTGTTCGGTTTCTCGGCTTCTGTGTTTCAGCGCTTACACGCACGTTTTGAATTTCGGTGATCTCATATATTTTGTTTTGGCTCCTTGGAAAGGATCTCAAATCCTTTGCCCTGGAGTTCGGTCATGATGTCGTCACACTCTAATGACTCCGGGACTTCGCGAAAAAATACTCTGAGTGGTTTTTCGCTTTTCATTGCAGAGGTGTGGTAGGGTATTTTCTCTTGATCGAGGATCCGAGTAATTCTCCTATAATCATCTGTATTTTTAAGATGGACTTTAATTCCATTTGTTGTGTTCACCGCCCGCAATATGGAGATGTTTTGCGCAGCAGCAATCTTGTTGAAAGCTTTCCACTTTTCTTTTACGCATATGGTTATAGGTGGAGGCTTATCAGCTTTTTTGTGTGTTTCTGCCCGGTCATTTTTCGGGGTGTCTGTTACTTATAGTTCTTCGTCGTCTACTTCCATTGAGTCAGGTGGCGGGACTTCTGTTTCCTCCGTATTTGCCGACTCAGTTTTCTGAGTGGGCTTTTGAATTTGATCTTCCAGTGCCACGTCCGGCTTTTGTGTTAAGGCTGGTGTGGTTTTATTTGATTTTGGCTTATTGGTCCATTTAGTCTGGAAAAAACCGGGTTTTAACTGTTTGATTTGCTGAGCCGTTTCTGGCTCTTTTTTTCCTCTTTTTTGGGACCTTTGCCGATTGGCTTTCTTCGCCCGAT